GACGACAGCCTTGCCAAGGACTTGAGACAGCTTGAAACACTCCGGAGTCCTCGGAGGCTTGGACATGTCTAGCTAAACCTCGATTGCAGCATCTTCTTGCCTTTATTTGCACTCACATGCCGGCCTTTTGTCCGATGTCACGCGCATGCGCGCACGGATGTAAAGCTTCATAGTTCGAGGTTGAGCCTCCGTCGCCAAGATGTCTTCATCCGCATGAACTCTGGCGCAATCGGCCCACAACCGAACCGAGCTAGCTATTGCATGCTGGTTCCGGTCTACCATCGTCCGGCCTCCAGAACACTTTGGGCGAAGCGCTTAGCCTCCTGTCAGATACTCTCTCAGAAGTTGTTTGAACCCATCGTCCGCTCTCCTCCGGACCACCACCGCTGGCGCACTCACCTGATCCAGGTTGCGCCGACGTATGTGCATGATAGGCTCAGCTGATGCTGTGTTGTTGTTGCAGCTCGGCAGGAAGCTGATATCTCTTGGCCAAGAGTCGGCTGCATTTGGCATGCCACCTTGGAGCATCTGGGAAGGGGAGGGTGACTCGAGAACAAACCCGCCACATCACAAGATAGCTTGCGCTGGACGATACCGTTGTTGTAACTCTCATCTGTAACTCAGAGAGTCACCTGAGCAGCAAAGCGAGGCATCTCGCTGCAGATCGTAGATCCTACCAGCCGAGGAGCGATGCATGAATCTGCAATTGCAAGCATGTGGACTCTCCGGGACCGAAGTTATCAGAAACGACCCATTCACAAGCTTGTGGAACCGTGACTAACAGTCACAGAAACGTCGTCGATCATTCGCTAGCCACTGTTGCAGTCAATTCGTGCCCGGTTTGCCGGGCGAGCCGGATTTACACGTCTTGTTTGGCTTGTCGATTATGTAGGTTTCCGATGGGAACCCTTATGTTTCCGAGCAGCCGAGCAGGTGCTCAAATCGTGGCAGCTTGGCGAAACCACCCTGAACATAGGCCTTCGTCGCCCAATGTTGGTCAGCTTCATAAGCAACTTTCGAGATGTTTTGAGGCTGGGAATTGCTTTTGAAACAACTCTTCCTCTTATTCTCACTTGTTTTCCTCATCCTCGCCATCATCGTGATCGACATCCTGCGTCGTCATGCTCCACCTTGTACTGATAAAGGCACCCAAAAGCCATATGGACAGAACCCCGAAACCTCAACAATGGCAGCAGTTGCACTGATAGTGAGCCGCAGCAGCGACTGGCCTTGCATGCGGCACTCTGTGCATGGAGACCTGCAAGGTTTTGCAGACAAGCGAAGCAGCACACCAGAATGTGCCTGAGGCCTTGCGTACCTTCGCCCTTCGGAGAACATTCAGAACTGAAGCCATGCTCAACAGCAGATCTTGCTTAACCAAGCTGTCGCCCTTATGCACGGCAGGCATGCCACCTTTGAACAGCTTCGACATGCAACCAAAGCGGTCTCAATGCCACACGCCTCGCCCCAAATGGATCGCCGCAACGAAACCAGAACCGTGACCTTTGCAAGTTGTTTGTGGGAAGACGGTCTCTGTGCTCAACTTGGAGGCGAATGGTCGAGGACGTGGCAGTGCTGCTGCCAGATATGGCCACCCACAGCTTGCTTGGTCACGGCTGGCCGGTGCTGCTGCAAAATCCAACCTGCCGGGTGTTGCTCGTGACGATGCAAAGAAGATCATGCTTAGGCATAACCCCGAGTCTCGTTATTGTACAAAGCTTTCTGTCATGCAGTGCTTCGATTGATCAGAGGCACGAATGACTCCTGAAAGCTGCTGAACGCACGCCACGTCGAGAGTGACAAGAGACTTAGCTGACCTTCACCGGAGTTTCTGTGGAAACTTCCACCCGTGTCGCACCCCTTTGGCACCAAGGCCACAGCTCCGATGAAATCCGACGAAGCTAGGGCCGGAACCTTCGAGAGCCAGCCGCATCTTCTGAGGCAGCGCCTGGATGGCGCAGCGCCTCCGCTCCGGTGGCCTTGAAACAATATAATGTAATATAGTATAATATAATGTAATATAATATTAATATATACATGTATATATATATATATATATATATGAAAGGGTTTCAACAGCTCACAACAGCTCCAGAACGCGACACAAGCGCCTATGTGGCTGCGGAAAACGTTGCGAAGCTTCTTCGAAGGTATGGAAAACTGGTGCTGCACAAGATGAGGAAGCCAGAAAGACACAAGCACATTGCTGAATTGATGCGAGCATCAGAGACTGCAGCAAGTTGTGCATCCGCCGAAGCTGCTTGGCTCGCTTGGTGCCACAGCGCCGAGGCTTCCTGGATCTGGCGCTGTGGAAGGTTGCAAACAGTTGTAAACGATCCACACACCCAGGAAGCATCTAGAGAGTGATCTGCAAAGGTCCATCCCAAATCGACACGTTGCAAAATCATACTTCGGGCCTCACTCCCCGCAGTCTTACTTACGAACTAGAGCTGTGCTCACGGACTCGCAGACGCTGCGGAGATGTTAGAGCATGTAGCCGCCTGGGCAGCGGCTTAGAAGGAGGCGGCGTTTCTGGCCCATGCAAGCGCTCCTGGCACGACGCACCCGGTATGGAAGATTGAGGGGCAGAACTTTCATGCATCCAACAGGTTCAAAACCCGAGTCCGACAGTGACTCGGTAACAAGGCCGCTGCACAGCTGTAAAAATGAACGTGGGGCTGCTTAACAGCGCACGCCTCAAACAGGACAGTCCTGGTACTTTGCTTTTATTTTCTTGAAGCGCTGGTTGGGCATGTGCTTCTTGTGCCCGCACTGCAATGCCTCCCGGCTGGAGGTACGCCACATGTGAAAGAGACTCGCAGAGTAAAGGCTGTTGTGATATGCAAGCTTGGAGCACTTGGCTTGTAGAAATCTCGCTGAAAAACATAACGACTCCATCAGACTTATGTTGAAAACATCGTGGATATCAGCACAATTCCAAGACTCGGAGCAGGATCAGAACACGTGCACCACCCAACGAAAAACCTACAGCAAACCGGTGGCAACCAGGCAAAAGAAAACCGCCCGATCTACCCAGTCAACTTGTTCGTCTGAACTCGTTCTGAATTTGTTCTGCAGGGCGCTTCTTTTTCAACATTGCCGCACATGCCAATGTTCCTATGGACAGGTTGGCTTACGGGACGATGTTCTGCTGCCTCGACGACATCGCGCTCAAACGCATCGTCAAGCTGCTCCTGGAAGGTGGGCATATGCACACATTGCTTTTGCATTGTTAACATGCGGAAGATTGCGGAAGGCAAGGCTGAATCCTGCGATGCTTCAGGGCTGAGGCGCATCAGCGCCAAGGAATCCTCTTCCCCTGCGTGGCAGATTTGCAGGTCAGTTCGCCAGTGTCGATGTCTTTCTTGTTCAATTTCACCCGAACAAAGCATCGTTCATGCTCGATCATTGCACATTCAGTCTTCTTGCGATGGCGCCCTCCCAATGCTTTGTCAAGCTTTGACGGCCTGACTTACGTCGGGTCATTTCGAAAGCGAGGTCGCCTTCCCACGTCAACTCCTTCGCCAAGTCATTCCACGGATTCAGTGGTGGCACTGCGAGATAGTCACTGTATGTGCTGTTGCAGCATATGCTGGCAGTTGCTGGCTGAAACTGCCTGGCCTGGCTTGCATGCAGTTTACATGGTCCGATACATACTCTGCAGCTTGGCGTCCATTAACGACGTGGGAAGGCATAGCCTCAGATCGCATGTCCATGTCTCAGTCACTTGTCCGAGCAATCCTGCCATCTCGAAATGGTCTGTCCAGCATTATGAAACACAAGCCAGATGACAACTCATCATCAGCTTCAAGTCTTCCTTTGCTGCCAAAGCTGCTACGGCGACGCTCGCGGCGGCGACTGCGGTCGTTGCGCTCGAAGAAGCCGGAAACATTGAGTGCAAGCATCTCCTGAACCCACAAAACACAGTGTTGCCATTGTGCTCGCGAAAGGATCTTTTGCAACAGCTGGCCTCCAACAAGGCAAGCATAGCTGGATGTGTCTGCGAAGATGCCATGTTGCCTATGGATGCAAGAGAAGCCAAAGGCATACGAATTAAACACAACACGCCGCACGAATCCTCTTTCGTTTTCCCCTGGCCCAAAGCAACCCGTTGCCAAAATTTTGAAGATATCACGCATAAAGAGCTGCACTTACGCGAAAGTCACCACAGTGGCATACCAAGTTGCACAGCTTGGAGAGGCGAATGCCCTGTGCGAGCGATGGGCACAAATAAGAACACAGGTTGGCTGCAAAAGCAAGTCCGAGGGGGCCATGTCGATTTGCACTCTTGTGTGCCATGTCGAACTGCGTGCAGCTGAGGAACGCCGGATTTGTCACCACTGGGGTCGATGCGTCGTTCGGCTGAGCCCAAATGTGCGAGACAATTGTGCGGTCGGGGGGAAAGCGCCATCTGCACCACAACTCATCATGTGAACTTGTAATATGCCCTGCCCATCAGTATTACTTGTCAGCATTGCTGTTATATGATGCGTCCAACTGAAGGTGCAGGAGTTGCAGTCCATTTCAACAAAAAGGCTATACCAACTACAATCACCGTCATGTCACACGAACAAAGGCACTTCCTTTTTCGCATCTCATGCTGGCTGCTCAACGGCCTGAGCTGGCATGAACCAGTGGTGGCCCAGCTCGGAAGGCTCCCACCCCGGGCCTTCCAGTGTAACCGCACCGACAGCGAAAGGCGCCCTCGTTTAGTTTTGACATGAGAAGGACTTCCAAGAACCAGTTCCAAAGCTGATGCGGAAGTACTGCGACCCAAGCGAATGCAAGGACCCTGCATCACGCATCCATACTTGCATGCCCTCGAACGAGTCCATGGCCCCATTAAGCCGTAAGTACTCGCATGTATGCAACATCGTGCAACGTACTGCTTGAACGTGATGCATGCTTCTAAAAAACTGGTGAACTGTCGAATATGCCAGTGACAAATGCATCCAGGCTGCAGTCCTCATTGCACGATCTTGAGCCTCGCCCGTCAGCATCTAAGAGCCTGTGGAGCTGCTGAGGTTTCTCTACGTAGGGTCTAGGAGCCGCTACACTGGGCTTTGATCATGACTGGGCTCATGATGGTTTGGTAAGTAACAAACTAGGTATAGCTACTTGCCATTGCTTTCTGCAGTGCCAACGGCACGGCAATGACATGGTGCTTGTCCGGACCTAGGCATCCTTGAGCGATAGGATGAGCTCACAGCCAAGCTGCCCAGGTTTGCGGCCCGGCTGAGCATATCGTAAGCCTGTGCGGGGTAACTGCAGCAGATGGGGTCACTTCAGCAGGGTCCTGAGTAGAATTGAAACTGTGGTTGCTCGGGCTGTGCAGTGTGCCGGCCTTATCCAGGGCCTCCAGCTCTTCTGCTCGGCGCTTCCGCTCCTGCCAGGCGCTTATTCGGTGCGAACGAAAGAGAACAACATTCACAGCACAAGCAGCAAGAACCAGGACCCAGGACTCACCCAACGACGACAAGATAGCTGACAAAACCACCAAGTTGTGACATGAACATCAGAAGCGAGGGCAACACATGGCGCAGCAAAAGCAAACAGCAGTAGCAATCACAAAGCAAAGCAAACACCAACGAATCGAAGCGAGACTCACAGCAGGCGTGGCAAACACAACGCGACAATAAACAGCTCAACACAAAATGCACTAGCAGCAGTGATTGCACCAGAACCACAGCTAACCACAGCAGCTGCATCACCAACAACTGCAGCAGGAGCAACTCGCATCGACCGACAACACCGACCGCTGCACTAACCAAGAACAACGAATTATCAACATCACTGGTTGAAAAGCTGATACTTCGACGACGACGACTGTGCTACGACAACGGCAATCATTATAATGACTAGGCCCATGATTGCCATAGCTGTATAGCTGTGGTAGTAGCAATAGCGACAACAGTACTGGTACAAGTGCTGGTGGTGATACTAGTACAGTGGTAGCAGTAGCAGCAGCAGCCGTAGTAGTAGTAGTAGTAGTAGTAGTAGTAGTAGTAGTAGTTATTATTATTATTATTAGTAGTAGTAGTAGTAGCTGTTGTGGTTATGGGCGTTTGTAAGCGGTAGTAGGAGGTGGTAGTATTCTTAGTGGTGGTAGTGGTCGTCGTAGTAGTAGTAGTCGTCGTCGTCGTAGTCGTGGTGGTGGCGGTGGTGGTAGTGGCAGTGGTACTGGTGGTAGTAGTAGTAGTAGTGGTAGTAGTAGTAGTAGTGGTCGTAGTTGTAGTAGAAGTAGCAGTGTTAAGGTTAGGAGGGGTAGGAGTAAGAGTAGAAGTAGTAGCGGTAGTTTCCGTAGCAGCAGCAGCAGCAGCAGCAGTAGCAGCTGCCGGCCAGCACATGTCCAACATGCGACCAAGGAGCAGCAGCAAAGTTCGTGGACTTATTGAGGCACTTTCCGTGCAGCTCCTGCGAGGTGTCTGATTGCGTGCATGCCCCATGATGCTCCGCTGTATCCAAAACCGATAAATTCAAGCCCGGCGACCAGTCACTCTTCGGGACTGGCCGAGACACTTGTCTGCAGAGTGCACTAGGAAGGTTCCACTCTCAATTCATCGGCCTTGAAGCCTAAAGGCAAAGAAGCAAAGCCGTCGCTGTATCCCGAGGCCTCATAGTAGTCGTTGGCAGCAGCTAGCTGCTTTTCCGTTGCGAGGAGGTCCACCTTCGGAGGCACTTCACTTGTCAGCTACGGACCCGAGCTCTTAGTCTAAGTGCCAAAGTGGGCCCAGTTGCAGTACCAACTTCACTCTAGTTTCACATCCACCTTGCGCTGGCTCAGAGCTTTGCTCTGGGAGGCGATAGTCCTCAGGTCCCGAGCCCAGGAAAGGCCCATGAAACCGAGTGATCCAAGATGCACTGCAACCCTCAGGCTTGAACCTAGGCCTTTGATTTCGTAGATGTTTGGAGGAACAGGCTACAGACTTATGGCTGAACCCCCTTGATGCAAGCACGTCGTCATTTCGTTCTTTTGCTGCGTCGTCTGCTTCTTCGACCGATCCTTAGATTTTGGCCGGCTCCGTTTTCGATTCACCGAAACTGGCGGGTTCTGCTGTCCTATGGAACTGGACAAGCTGTTGCCAAGGTACCTCCTGAGAATCCGCAAGGAAGGTCTGGAACTCCTGTGCATGTGACGGTACGCCAAAAGTCGTGCTGGACAGCAGCGGGAGCGGCAATTGAAGGACGCAAGGCGACAGGTAAAGAGTTACTCTTTTAGGAGAGATCTACAGCGCAGTCTAGCCAGCGTGCCTTCTCGGCAGTGTTCTCCGTGGCTTGGATTTCGTTAGCCTGCGATGTACTGGAACGAGTGCAGGAATGCAAGACTCAATGCAGTACAAAGCGATTGGCAACTGGGCAGCTCGCCTCCTGAGCAAGGTCGGCTGTCATCTCCTGCATCCTGCAAGGCTATGCTACCCTGAAAGCGACGCTGTACTCCTTCATGCTAGGCCTGCTAGGGCCCAAGGGGAGGGTGAAGCACACGATGCCGCGCCGAACTCCGCAGGATTTTGGCCGAGGCTCAGCTCGAGCACTTTGCTCTGCCCCGAGTCGCCATAGTCGCCTTAGCTGCAGGGCACTGCTAGGGAGCTTACGGAGTAGGGAAAGCATCTCCCATTACATGCTATCGTGGCATCTCGTGCTGCCACGCCGCCGGCAGCGAATTCGGGCTTTCTGCTGTCCTGCAAGGCTCTATCCCAAATCTAGACTGTTTCAGACTGAACTTTGGCAATGACAGCTCCCACCGGGATGCTGCGAGGCTTGCACACCAAACAGCCCCCACTCCTCTCAACGAGTACATACTGGCACATATACATGCATACGTACATACATTCTTAGACAAAGCGACAGGGAGAGACAGAGAGAGGGAGAAAGAGAGATAAAAAGAGAGAACGTGTGAGTGTGTGAGTGCACATGTCATGCAGAATGATTGAAAGAGATGAAGGGAGGGAGGACCCGCTTGCGTCTTCAGCATGATGGCGTCAACATTCAGCTTGAGCTGTCTTCATACACGGACTGCACAGCCCCGCACGCCTGATGGTGGCTCTCATTGCTCCTCGAAAGCAGCCGCAGCAGAAAGTGGATCGACAACATTCTCTCTCCTCTAAAATAATTAACAGAGCCTTCGAAAAGAAATCCAGCTAAAGGAGGCACACCATTTAACGAAGCGGGGTATATACAACTTGAAACGGCCCTGGCTCCTGAGCTGGACGAAGGAAGGCCCCAAATTACTGTAGAAGTCTCGCAGGATCTGCGTCGCTTCTGCCACGGCCTCCTTGCCCTGGGAAGTTGTGAATCTTCCATCCCTCCTGCAACTGCACATCTCTACAGCAACTTTGCACTCCCTTGGTTTGCCTCAGTGGTCTCGTGGAGGTTCTTCAGATTGGCAGCCTTCCTTAGAAAAAATCTCGTCTAGACTGCGCCACAGCACAAGCTGCGACACACTTTCCCTTTTAGAAGATGCTACAGTCTTCTGAAGACAAAAGTTCCGCCAAGGTTCTCCTCCTCTCTCATCAAAGTGGTATCCTTGATGCTCTTCTCCAGTGCGGAGATGTCCTCGGCTGAGCTTTTTGCAGCAAAGCGCAATTCTCAAAACGTCCATGCGCTATAGCTGAAAGAGGGACCGTGGTCTTTAGGCCCAAACTCCATGTTGCCAGTCTTGCTCCAAGTCTCCGAAGCTAGCTTGCTGTTCTCTTCCCCCAGCTCTGCCAAGAGGGCCCTGGGCTGCCGGCATTGGGTGGACGATTCATGCTTCAACCGCCACTGCTCTGCATGCCGAACCTCCGTCCCAATCCTTCCAAGCTCAGCCATGAGATCCATCTTCAATCGGAGCGTTTATGGCTTGAAATCCGAGCCCATCTGAAGTGTCCCTGCGTCAAGGCTCTGGAGGCGGTCGATCTCAGCCTCAAACAGGTGTCACCGTGTAACTGAAGATGGGGGGATGCTAACAGAAAGTTTTTACGATGGAAGAGTCGAGTGTCATGTCGCAATACACGCCAGTCCGTCACCAGTAATGTTCTGATTCTGAGATCTGATGTGTCCTTACTTCTCCATGGCATTCTTTCAAGTCTCGTAGGTCGGTTCAGGTCCACGACCACTCAGAAGAGATTCACAGTGGAATGTCTTCCTGCCACCCCTCATAGGCTTGCCTTGAGCTCCTCGATCTCGCTCGTCTTCGTTTCACGGGCCTGCTGACATGGCTTGCATGTGCGTATATACAGCACCTACGTAAATAGACAAATGCTCATGCGATAGCATCCACACACATACACATTTTCCGTTAGGTACATATGCATGTATACAATACACATGCATACCGAATAGCTGTACCTATGACTCTATCCCTGCCTACCTACGCACACACCCACCCACCCACTACCCACACCCACCAATCGCCCGAACGCCCACTCCGACCTACCGAGATCTATTCTGCTCGGTTTTCAGTCACGGTTACACACTTCCACACGAACGGGCAGTGGCCTCGCCGTTGGTCTTGAGCTCCTTGTCGCACCAAACCTGGCAACAGGATGGGCACCTTTGGTTGTGCGCAGTGCGTTCTGCCTTATCCTGCCACTCCCCACTGTCACAGCTGCCAACAGGGAACCCACTCTGAAGCCTCAACCCCCCCTCCAACCATCCACAGGGGGGGGCAGGAGAGGAACTAAACTCCCAAGCTTGGGGCACAAGCCGTTGCACAAGGAAGCATCGGCTCCTTCGTAGCGATTGTCGGAGGGAGTGTGCTGCGCATTCTGCCACCCCCNNCCCCCCCCCCCCCCCCACCCCGCCCAAACAGCAGCAGTGGATGCCAACTACTCGCTGGTCGCTACCCGTGGAGCCACGGCCTGCTGGGAAGCATCGTCCACATCAGAGTTCTTGATTTTGGACATCAGCTCCTTCAGGGGTTTCCTACTTGAACGAGCTCACAAACTGGCAAGGAAAGATGGCTCAACCCCTATCGGCCCTATCTTCCACGGCTGGCCCATCTTCCGAGCCCATCAGGCCCATGCCTGGCCCTTGCCCCAAACAGCGCCAGCCGACCCTCCACCCCTAACTCACGAACGACCAGTCTTGCTCCACGCTGCCGTCAGTCGTGGACTATGCAGACACGCAGTCATCCTACATACAGTTAAACAGCTAAACATGCCACCTCCTGCGAAACTAAAAGTGTGCGCGATTCGCAACTAAGCCGATGTTTTGTCCATGGACAGTCAGGACAAGTGAAGGGAGACTTCTTGTTCCGACGTGCTGACAACATGGAATCTCCCAGTGCGTCCTTTAGCATGGTAGCTATCCTCTGGACAGGAGCTGCTGCGCCATCCGGCACGTCCTTCTGCCTTCAAGTCACTCGGATATCTCGACCCTCCACTGCGACACTCTACGCATAGCAAAAGGGTCAGAAGAAGAGTATGCCACGTCTAGAATGAGAATGTCAAGAAGAAGCAGGGGAGATGTGTTTGCAATGCCAAAGGCATCCATGCATGAGACATCATGAGACCTAAGGGCTAAGGAACATTGAAGTCTCTGACCTTCAAGTCTGAATCCTGGCCTTAGCCGTTCCACCAGAACCCGCAGCGTGGCGCTGTCCAGCTCCGTGGCTTGTGCCTGAGTGGGACAGAAGATTCAGCTGGGCTTCGCTACAGGTTTCGTCAAGTTAATCTGCCGTGATGTTGGCAAAACATCAAGAAGCAGCCAGACCTGTGCATCTGGAACAATTCAATAAGCAGTGTAGCCGTGCCAAAGCCGAACAAATTCAGGCTAAATGTGGCGCGGCACGCGGACCTCATCACCACCACAGGTTGCCAGTATGAGAGTGGATTCATCGGCCATCTTTTAGGGGAACTGCTGGTGTTTCTTTTGGCCGGTTTTAGGCTGGATTCACCCCCAAACCCCAAACCTCTTACGAACCACTCATAAGCCATATAGTGGCAAATAGAACCATTAAAGAGCAGTCCTTAAGCCCTCCTCAATCCGACGTGTCAGCTTTGCAGGCTGCGAAGCCTGCAAAAAGCGCAGCGTGCGATCCAAGACAGGGTCTTGCCGCCGGCCTGGTGGCGGTAATGGGCAAAAGTGACCCAGCTGATCATGGCTTGATGACTCCATCAGGTCGCAAATGCCGCTCTAGTCTAGCCTTCGGCGCGGAGCGCCGCCAAGGAAGTGCCTCACCACCAGTTGTTGCAAACAGTCAGTCCATGAATTTGAATGGTTGCGAAACAGTCTTTCGAGAGGGTCTTGCAAGAAAATGAGGGATGTCCTGGGTCGGAGAGACCAAATGCCATGCCTGCATGGAGATATGGCGAGGTTCTCGACAGAATGATCTTCAGAGCCTCAGCGCAAACCAAGAACAGACTATGGAAAGCTCAAAACCCTGTCCAGCTCTGCCGTTAGGGCAAGCAAGTCCCTACTAGTAACCCGACAGGGCCTAATGTTTAGGGCTTCAACTTCTATCGTTGTTCATTTTCGTTTTGCCATCTTGCGATCCCTAAACTGCCCCAGACATTCCCAGATTCTGATCAAGTCGAACGGCCTGCGTTATGGCCGTCACTTCATCGGAGCGCAGCCGCTGGCGCTCCGCGAAGTCGTTGGCCTCCAGGCTCTGGGCACGAGCTCGTCTGCGTGTGCATGAGCTCAGTTCCTTCGTAGTAGCGGCTAGTAGCGATTTCCGTAGACAGATCCGCATAAGCCCATGTATAAACGGCAACCTGGAGAAATCTGGATTGATTGTGCGGTGAACACGCGCGAGGTAGCAACGAAGTGTTGGGACACACAGCCGCTAGGCCTTGACCTTGCACTCGGTGTCCAAATCGCTAGCGAGCTTCCTGAAAGGAACGGACGCACAGGTTTTGAAGCAGCAGGGGTATCAACACTCTCATGTTTCGGTGGCGGTGCTCGTCGTCACCGTCGTCTTCGGTGTAGAAGAAGTACCGAGCACGAGCCATGACAATGTTGGCGGTCGTAGGACAGGACGAACAGCAAATGTGTTTCGCTACAGAGTTGCTGCATGCATGGCCTTGCCTTTGTGAATGTGCAGGGCCGGTGCTACCGGTGGTGGTGGTGGTTTTGGTAGCAGTAGCAGTAGCAGTAG